TAGGAGTCAATCCAGGATCCCACATTGCATTTAGTTGTTATGTGTTAGTCTCCTGCATTGTGGGACACTTCCTCACTCTTTTTTTTTTTTGTCTTTCTGGACCATGGTACTTTTGAAGAGTACTGGTCATTTATTTTGTAGACTTTGTATCTTTAAATGCATTTGGTTTATGTATGCATTTAACGTTGAGATACGAGGGTTTTCCTTTATGTCATAATTATAAGCTGTTTCCTTCAAAAAACTTTACTATGTCATTGCCAATTATTAGGACTTTTTTTTTTTTAAAGATTTTATTTATTTGTCAGAGAGAGAGAGTGAGCGAGCGCACAAACAGGGGAAGTGGGAGAGGGAGAAGCAGGCTGCCCGGTGAGCAGGGAGCCCGATGCGGGGCTCGATCCCAGGACCCTGGGATCATGACCTGAGCCGAAGGCAGACGCTTAACCGACTGAGCCACCCAGGCATCCCTGTTAGGACGTCTTTGAATGAATAAGGGTGATGTGACATTGTTGGCCTTTGTCTAGAATCGTAACTTGTCGCAGGCAGAAGGGCCTTGAGTATCCTCTGGTGGCCCACCCCCTGGCTTCACAGATGGTAGCATCATGTTCTGTACGTCTTGGCTCCTTGTCCTTTGTTCTTTCTACTTCATCCTCCTACTGGTCTGAAAGGCCAAGGAACAACCATTCAAAAATTTATTGACTTAAATATGTTTTGTCCTTGATCACTGAAATTTTGATTAATCGATGATTCATTTGATCTTGGTATAAAATCAACTTTGCTTTCCTCTAAGATACACTATTGTGTGTAGCTCATTAATTTGGCACAGTTCATGGTGATTTCTTTGTTTAGCTAAAGGTTGAGTCTCTTTTCAGCTGCTCCACCCATTTGCACATACATTTTTGGAAGCAGCCTGAGCAGCAAAGATTTTCGTAGTGCTTATAAAACAGAAATGTTTAATATACAGACTTATTTTAGGTCCGCTTGGCCTTTGTACATATGATTAATCATACAGATCTGTCAGCTCGGTTGCTTCCTTGTGCTCTCTTCGATAATGCCATTTGGAAGTTGGTAAACAATGGTTCCTTTGGAGGTCATTAACTTTTTTGGGGGGGGTGTTATTATAAAAGGCAGACATTGACTTCTGAGCTTTTTGGAAAGTTGGTATTTTAAAAACTCCTTACTCTTAAGGGTAGGCTTTATGAAAGTTTGTATATTTTTCCCTTGTAAATGAGAAAGGTAAATGACTGTATCTTCATGAAGCTGCTCCCACAAGTATATTAACTCTTATTCCTGTAATTAGATGGACTCAATTTCTTGGCCTCTCACTTTTCAAAGCTCTTTGTTTGTCTTAATGTATATTTTCTTTTTTACCCAGTGTTTTGCTCTTTGGGGCCTCTTACCTTTTATTTATTTATTTAGGCCTGTTACCTTCTAATATGTAAAAGGTAAATGAAAGCAAGGTATATGACATTGTAGAGGAGTCTACATTTTACCCTGGTTAGACTGTGATATTTGCAATAGATTTATATCTTGGGGAAAGAAAAAGGATTTCTTTTATACATTCTATAAAGGAAGTAAAATCGTAAGTAAGTTCAAAATGAAGTGAAGTATACTTTGGAAAACCCCATAAGTCCCCCAGAATATATGGCACGCAGGGCGAATGTACACGGCTCCATGTGGCAATTGTTATGCCACTACAGTTTGTGATCCACTGAGCCAGGTTCTGGAATGGCAAGCATTTTTGGCAGACATCTGGGTGTTTAGACCACTTTACTTCCATGAGAGTTGCTAGTGTGGAGTGGGGAATTGGGAAATCTGTGTGACCCTGCTTGTGTGCAGGCTACGCCATTTCTGTTTCTAGTGCAAACTCCTTGTCTTAATAGTAGTTAGTAGGCCTTCTCCTTTGGGGAAGTACTAAATGAGATAATGCATGAGATGACCTCTAATACCTGGTGCATTAGATCAGTGGATGCTCACTAAGTCTTTGATGGTCTTGATCCTGACCTAGCTTGATCCGTTCTAATGTCACCCTGTGTTTGAAAAGGTGTCCAGAGAAACCTGTCCACTGCCTCCTGTCTTCTCAAATTGGCATTCCTGGTGATGACCCTGTCTCTGAGAGCCTTCCCTCTCTCCACCCCTTATTACCTGACTTCAGAAGGTTCCTGAATTCAATCATGAATATTCAAGTTACCACAAGATGGCGTCAGATCATTTCAAGTAATGCCAGGTAGGGGGAGCCTCAGCACAGTAAATCTTTAATTTTAAAAAAAGTTAGAATATATGCCTTTCACGTTATGGGATTTAGCTATTGTAAATAAACTTCTCATTTCTTTTCCCATTCTCATGTGGAAACATGAGGCTCGTGTCTCTTCAACTCCCCAAAGTAGTTGGGTGGGAAAATGGCTTGAATCATGCAGACGATTTTACTAAAGTGAATTGTTCAGCATCCCTTGTGTTTGGCTGAAACCTTCATTTTACTTCATTGTTATTTACAAGGGTGACCCTTAGGTATTTTACAGTGACCCCTCTCCACAATTTCCCATTTCCCTATTATCCCTGAGTCTGATGTGTTTTTCTCCTGATACGTTTATTTTTTGGTTTGTTTCCCCAATTAATACGTAAACTCTGTAAGAGGCTACAGGTTTGTTTGTTTCTTTACTACATCCTCAGTACCTGGAACTGTGCCTGGCATGGTAGGTACTCAAAAACCTCTTAAATGAAGAATGAATAGAGAATTTTCACTGTTGTTTCAGTCAATGCCCTTTGGCTTAATAAGCAAGTCTTAAAATTATGTAAAAGTGTGAAATTTCTGAGTTTATATTCTTTAGGAATTTCACTGATAACTTGGTGAAGTAATCAGAACTTGAAAGCTTTTATCACCATCCTCCTCTGGTGATTATATTTCAGATCTCTTCCATAATTTAGTTCAGTAATCTTCCTACAACTTACAGTATATTTGTAATATTCAGTCAGGATGTATTGATGAATACAAAATGAGCAAACTAGGACTAGTGAAGGAAATAATTTCAGACTTTCATTTTACCTTAGTAAAGTTTTTATTCACGCACACAAACACACACGCAATTCAGGGGATCTGGGTGAGCCTGAGATATTTTCCTTGCTTCAAGGGTGCTCTGTAAGTGAGGCCCCTTGCCAAGAAGCAGAGTAGCTAAATCTGACCTTCTCTAGTGGACATTATCTGAAAGTTAAACTTCAAAAAAGCAGTCATCATAATTTTGAGCTTTTTTTTCTGGAGCAGAAATGAATGAATGAATGAATACTTAAAAATCCACTTTGTGATTAGTTCTTAAGATTGCAGTTGCCAGGACGGAAGTGTGAATGTCAGAGTTTTTGGCATGGAGCATGATGAGGTGCCGAGGCTGCTGATTACTGACCATCTGTGTTCTCTTCACAAATAGGTCCCCAAGCAAAGTGAGGTTTATTTTCCAAATTGACCCCTGAGGTCTGTGAGGTTCATCTCCCTAATCACTCATTCAGCAAAAATTTATTGAGTGCCCACTATGTGCCAAACACTGTGTTAGTGGTAGAGATAGAGTGACTGAAGTAGATCATATTCCTGTTCTCACAGAGCCTGTGAGTGTCTTTCAGTGTCTTTCGAGGCCACAAATATCTTTAATATGTGTGAAAGTAGGGGACCCTTTTCTTTGAAGATCAACCAGTTAGCCAACCTCTCTCTCTCTCTCTCTCTCTCTGTCACACACACACACACACACACACACACACGGATGCATATAGGTAGCTGGTGTGAGATGGGGAGACCCACACTCACTGAGTTGCATATACCACTTCCTGGGGTTCCAAAGACTTGAAGCTCAAGTTCACCGAGTGGAGGGCCCCTCTTCCCTTGCCTCTCAGCCTCTTCACTGCTTTCATCCCCCGTTGGTCCTTCATGATGTCTTGGATGGGACTTCCTGTAATTTCCTTTTCGGGTTTGGTCACATGATGAAGCAGTGTAAGCTTCTAGATGAAGAGCCCAAGGGGTGCTCAGCAGGCTTGGATTAGGGGCTGCCTTGTCCTATGGCTTTGAGGAAGTCACTTCCACTCCCGAAGTCTTTTTCTTTGCATCTGAGCAATAGAAAGGACTGGATTTGGGTAATTCTGAGGAGATTTAAGGGTAAGTTAGGTAGGCAGGTTGAAAAGGTAATAGAGAATAGGTGTGGGTAAATTACAGTCTCGGTGCTCTTTAGCTGGGTGATTTTGAGCAAACTACTTAGTTTATCTGGGCCTTATTTTACACATGTGAAAGGGAAAAAGCAGCATATACCTCATGGTGTTAATCTGAGAATTAAATTGAAATAATGTATGTAAATTGCCACGACAAAAATGGTAGCTTTTTTTCCAGCCTTGTTATATCCAAATTGTCTTTCAGGGGAATTAATAGATAAACAATTTATTGAGCCCCTGGAGTAGACTACTTCTGTAATTGTTCTCCTGTGATACCAGCCCAGCTGTCAGGTGATGGTATACAATCGTAGGGAAAGGTTCACTTTGTATTAGGCCTGGTTTAATTTCACGGTTCTCCCACTGACTAGCTGGGTGATCCTAGACTCTCTGATCTTTATTCAGTTTCCATTTCTGACAGATGAGACAATGATAATACGTGACCCAGTCACAGCAGAGAGGCTGTTTTGGGATTTGAACAAGATCGTGTAAGTAAAGAGAGCATGTAGCACAGGGCCTGGCACAGAGGACACTCTTCATTTATGTAAGACTGGTTCCATAATTAACCTAGTTTAACCTCACCCTCCCTTCTCTGCCCAGGGCTAGGTTGGATCTCAGGGTTTTCCCTGGATTTATACAGGTTCAGTTGATGATAGCACTTATCTAGGCCCAAGTAGTAAAGTGAAGAGCCCTGATTGAAAACGGGCCTTAGAGGTTCCTTGGAAAATATGTACTGTTCCTGCAAAAAACTGTGGTTGCTGGGAAAGAATTCACTTTGGTAAAAGACAAATGGTAATTCTTCTTTATGTGTTTTCATTTAGTATCCCAACCCCATGGATAAAAATGTCATCTCTGTAAAAATTGTGGAGGAAAAAAGAGGTAAGATCTCTGAATTATACCTCACTTCGGTGATGATCATTAAGTGATACTGATTTTCTTAAAGGTGTTGTGTGTGTGTAGCCTGTATATTTCTGTATTTGAAGTGACAGGAAAGAGTACTCAGCACGTACAGCAGCAGAGGGCTTGCTCAATATGCCCTTGTCATTCTCTCAATTAATAACTGGTGACAGCAGTAATAGCTAACATTTCTGAGCACTTCGTATGTGCCAAGCACTCTCACTTTACTAACTCATTTCATCTTTAGACTAATGTATGGTGTATGTATTATTATTACTCCCATTTAATGTATGAAGAAACCAAGGTATGGAGAGGTTAAATAAATTGCCCAAGGTCATATGGCTATATCCCTATCATATATTTATACATCATTTTATAGATGGCAAAATAGTTGTGATTAGTAGCATGTATATAAAATGTGACTATAGTGATTAGATTATGGAATCATAACTGTACTTGACAGCGTGGTTCCATATTGACCAGAGCAGGGGTTGACAAACTATGCTTGTCCTGCTTGATGTTGTGAATAAAGTTTTATTGGCATACAGCCATGCCCACTTGTTTATATATCGTCTATGGCTTCTTCCTTGCAACAACAGCAGAGTTGAGTTGTTGTGACAAGACTGTCTGGCCCACAAGACCTAAAATATGTACCATCTGGCCCTTTACAGGAAGTGTTTACTCACCCCCGAATTAGAGTGTAGGAGTCTGCCCTGCTCACTGTCATTCACATCTCACTGTAAGCATTTCCACTGTCCTTGCCTGGGAACTGGGCCATGCAGGAAGCTCTAGTGATGGACAGAATCAGTGTATAAACCCTTGGAAACACCCAGGCCCACTTCTGACATGCTCTTGAGCCTTCCGAGAAAACATACGATAGACCACTGTTCATTACATGACTCTGAAGTCTTCTCTGTGCTCGGTGGGCACAGAACTATTTCGCTTGTGAGGGTCTTTTCTTCATGTCCATAAGTCTATAAAAAATACTTAAAAAAAAATTTTTTTTCCCCCATGTATCTGCACTCAGTGTGGGAGAGATGTGTTATTTGGCATCAGAGAAATCTGATTTCAAGCCCTGATTATTACCTGCATGACCTAACTTCCTGAAGGCTCAGTTTCTTCCTTTATTAAATGGGAAAATAATAATCCTGCTTAGAAGATAATAATAATTAGAAGAAGAAAATAATAATAATCCTGCTTGTGAAGATCAAATGAGAGAACAATGTGCACATCCCAAAGTGGTATAGAAACATTAATTATAATTTCTACCATTGACGGGGGCGTCTTTGCCTACAAGATTGGCTAATCCATTTTAAGTATGTGTGCTGCAAACTTTGGATGGGATGGCTAAAGGAATGCCAGTGGGCAAGGAGATGAGCCCGCTTCTCACCCTGGCAGTGGCTTCTGGGCAGTCTGGGTGTTTGCACAGCATTCAAGGCTACTCTAGCCAGAGTTTGAGAAACCCTATAGGAGCTTGGCTGAGTCACATTAATTTACAGGGCAAAGGACAACCACTCAAAGTTATTTTTTTTCTCTGACCTGGTCTCCCTGTTTCTTAATTCACATTTATTTTGTGTTTTTTACATTATTGGTGCTATTCTCTCTCCAAAACAGAGTAGTGCCCGTCACAGGGAAGCTGCTTCCCTGTGAGTAAAGAGTGTGGCTAATATAATTAATTATAGATTTAAATTTTGTAGCCAGAAGCCTGTGCTTGAAAACATGGTGGGTGCAGAAAGTGGCAGAATCGATTCTCCATTTTTTTGTTAAAACATTCTTTTTATCGGAGTTGAACAGAAGGCTCATTGGCCCTTGTCATTGGAGTGATGACATTGATTGTCCAGAGCAGTGAATGGTTCATGATTCTTTATCCTTGATTTTAGAATGTGCAGTGTGAGTTAGCTGTCTCACCCTTATTCCTTGATCACAGATGAGTGTATTTGGAATGATTTAGCTCAGAAAAGTGGTCAGGGACACTGAGTTTTGAGTTAAACATTTTTCTCTAGGAATTCTACATAATAGAAAATTGACATCGACATGAAAAGTTTTATTGACATAGGACAAGAATACATTTCCTTAAATATTTTTTGAGTGTAAAAATTTTCTGTTTCTAGATGTCTCAACAGGGATCATCTATAGAAAGAGGATTGCAGTCTGTCAAAATGTGGTTCCAGAAATTTTAAGGAAGGTAAATTCATTTCAAGATTTAATCAGATTTGGGTGATTTTCATGTAGTCCTGGAAAGAGACAGCATTTTCTGAGGGGGCGGAGCACGATGGCAGAGGAGTAGGAGACCTGGATTTCGTCTGGTCTCAGGAATTCAGCTGGATAGGGACCAAACCATTCTGAACACCTATGAACTCAACAGGAGACCGAAGAAGAGAGTAGCAACAACTCTCTGAACAGAGAAGCGACCACTTACTGGAAGGTAGAACGTGCAGAGAAGTGAATCCGAGGCGATATTCGGGAGGATAAACGGGGGGGAGGGGGCCTCCGTCGGCTGCTTCTGGCAAGTGATAGAGCCGCGGAGCACAAAATCAGAACTTTTAGAAGTCGGCTCTGCTGAGGGACGTCCCTCCAGTGGCTAAGCGGGGGGTGGAACCCTCACGGGACAGTGTGGTCTCAGGACCATTGGGGTCACAGAAAGACCGGGGGTGCCTGAGTGCAGCAGAGCTCCCAGGTATCGGAGCGGGGAAGCCGGCTGCAGAGACGGAGCTGACTAAATAAGAGATGAGGAAGGACACTATATCCTACTTAAAGGGTCTATCCAACAAGAAGATCTAACAATTGTAAATATCTATGCCCCTAACATGGGAG